CATTAACAAGTTAGACTAACTTGCCATCATTTCTATGTGCGAGTCATTCTCATTTAGTGTGATTGCGGCTTGAGAGCAGTCAACTAGCAGTGGCCCTCAAGATAAACAGGTAAGTGTGCTTAGACAATTACTCAGACAATAACTCGGACAAGCGGCGGGCCTCTATCGGGTGCTCAGATAATCGCCGGGGGCAGGCGGTCCGCAAACTCGCGCTTTTCTGCAGGCGGTCAGCAGGATTTCGGGGCGTGGCCAAATCTTCAGCGGGCGGTATTTCCGTTTTCTGCAAGCGGGCATCAATACAAAATTTTCTGCAAGCGCTCGTCAAACAATCTCTTTCAGCGAGCGCTGGCCAAACTTTCAGCAGGCGCTCGGACTCTTTTTACGCGTTTCGGGCATACGCCGAGAAAAGATGAGACTCTCTGTGGCAGAGGTACCATCGATGGTTTTATTACCCAAGTTTGGGGTACTTTCTTTCAGCGGAAAGTACCTGGGGGTTGCGCGGTCCTCCACAAAGGACCGTGCGGCTCCCAATAATTTTGCATGTTTTCGCGGAATGTCCGCGAGAATGCGGCCGCTGCGCCGCGGCTAATCCGTAAAAAAACTGTGATTGTTCTTCAAGCTTTCGTCTTTAATTTCGCCAACTTTCTTCCAAATTTCTGCAAGCGGGCCGCAAAAAATCAACGAGCTATTTTTCCGGTGCCCGCCTGCCCATGAATCGCATCGCCGCTTGCCCCCGGCGATTATCTGAGTGGGCGATCATGCCTCCCGCCGCTCGTCCTCAACTCAGACAAACGCCGGGGGCAGGCGGGCGCCGGAAAATGCGCGTTGCTAGAATTTCGCATTCCGCTCGCAAATTTCAGGGAAATGTATAGCGAGATTTTGAGAGACCGCCCGTTGAATCCTTTTTCGCTCCTTGTCTTTTGCAGATATATTGCTGAATCTCTAAGGAATCGAGAAATCAGCAAGCGGCGTCCCAAAAAGTCGTGATTGCTTTCTGAAAAATCCGCGAGCGGGGTGCAAGAAAACAGCCATTTATTTTTCCGGTGCCCGCCTGCCCCCGGCGATTATCAGAGTAGAGGCACGCGGGCCGCCCGCTAGAGATATAAAGCGGGCAAACGGAGTACCTTTAGCGGGCGAGCGGAATGCCTTTGACGGGCTAATATCTATATGTTGTCCCGCTCTCCCTCTAGAGATATGCCTCTTCTAAAGACTGCACGGATCTGACAGCTTACTGTCATTGCGTTAATAATCTCTCCTTTCTTTTCCTATGGGCAGATGTGCTAACGCCAATTCTTGAGATAGATATGTACAAACAATTATTGTAACGTTTTGTAGTTTATTAGAAAAGCTAACCACATGCAAAAGCAAATGTAATGAGCATGCTCAGCGTCATGAATTGAAACAACACGAGATAATAAACCAGAACAAAATAAATATCAACGAAATAAACAACAATATCACACTCTCATGAGCGCAAAAAAAGTGCAAAGGTGCAAGCACTCATCTACATATACGCCAAAAATTCGCTGTTTACCAAAAAATCTTTTTTAGAATCTTCTCTATCTTTTTCTTCCACCTTCCGAGGCATCTTCATCTCCTGGTGCCGCACGCTTCTGTCGCTAAAGCACATAAAATAATCACTAAATCTATTTGCTGTAATGTTCTCACGTCGCTAAGTATCCATTTCCCCTAATGGAAACTGTAAGACCGCACATCTCTCCTAAATTTGATAAACAGTATGTAGAATGGTAAAACCGATTTTCTCAAACATACAGCGCCATTTGCAGGCATCTGAAGAAGTGTGGGCGCCAGTCCTTTTGCTGCTCCATTAATTGATCCAAAATTTTCTCTCTTTTTTTTTATCCGTTCTTGCTAGATTTTTGTAAAACCTTTAATGGATTATTTCGTAGTTTACAACAAGTCTCGATCTTCAAGAGCTCACTTAGAATCCTCAAGATTGACTTCCATCCAGGGTTTTAATTCTTCGTGCCCGAGGCCTAGCATATCTTCTCCAAAATCTAAATATTGGTGATATTGTCAAACCGCGCCCCTATCAACCTGTCCTCTACCTTTCAACACGTCCTCAATTTCTTCGGGGAGATTTTTTAAAATCTTTTTCCTTCCTCCGGTTTGGTTCATTCTCACGGATTCTTGGATTTTTTCTGGGGGGGGGGGGAGAGTCCGTGATCTAAATGCACTTTGTAGAAAGTACCCTTGCTTGCAAATCTTCCTGAAACTTACTCTTTCCAGCACAAATCGATACAAAGAACAAAGTTGTTGATATGCATTCCCTTTTCTTTTTCTCTCCCAATCCTTAGCTAGTTGCGTTAGACTAAGCTAGATTGGTGTTTTCATAAATGTCATGAACTCTTTGTAGGAATCTGCTTAAACGGGGGATTCGCGTATATCTTACATAGCTTTGAGCAATTGTGCACACTAACAGTAACGTTAGTATCTGGAGCATTCCTTTCCGCATTTTCCATAAATCGTGCCGTCTTTGTTGAAATTGCCCTGGCTATCTCAGCCTGAAAAAGGATATTACAATGATATTAACGAACAGAAAACTCAGCCATACCGTCATTGTATTACCAATGTTCCACAGCTGATGGTTATCGGGATCATTCAGCCGATTCAGATCTCCATATGCCATCTTTGCGCACATCACTACGTTGGATCTCACAAATTCCTACAAAAAAGTGTAAAGGATGGATGCCGCGGTGCCTGTAGGCCATGGACAATGATTATTGAATTTGATCTCAACCATGTACTTTGTATCGTGGCAGCTATAAATAAGGCCGCCCGGCCGTTGTTTGAGTTGCTGTGATCGTCTCTTATTTCTAGTCTCCCAATAAATCCTTCTATTACTCTCTCGATCCCTACCTGAACATCCGCCTTCGCATTAACGACCCCGGTTAGTGCGTGACAAAAGCCCTTTTTGCTTTTGCAATTTACAGGGGTAGAATTTACATGAAAAGTTGCTTCATCGAATCTTTGTTGACGCATTCTTGACAGTGGTACATCTCACTGTAATGGTATATTCAAAACAATCAAACAGACGAAGCAGTGTGCTAGAGAAAACATAGCGGCACGATAACGATATAAATCAAGCCAGGCAACGGGAGAAATGATATTTATTCAATCAAACACATCAATCAAAGTCTACATATATATATATGTGTCGCTTCCAAAATTGATTATTGAGCACGCTCCGGCAATGTCAGAAGCATTCCTGGTTTTCTTGTATATGCTCCAGTTTTTTTTTTGCGAAAGAAGCTGTTACTCTCCATTACTTCTTTCATAAGTCCTAATCCTATTCTTGTGCCCTCTTCCGAATGTGGGAGTCGATTAATCCGAGAAAGAAGGTCCACAAAAGGGTTACTTGTGGAATACTCTTCCAGCAACACTGGCCCGTACTAAAGCTGCTTCAGTCGATCTCAACTGAATAAAATTTCAGTTGAGGCTTCGACGAGTCAGCTTGCCTTCAGTCGAGCCATTGATTGATATTGCCAAACACCCACGATGATAAGATTAAAAGCGCCACGTTCATGCAAGTATACGAGTCAAAACGCGTTCATCAAACATTCGTATCTGCAGCGGCAGAGATTTGGCCGCACTTGTCAGATTTTGTTGAAAAGCATAGTATGCAGTAGCAAGTACTAGCATTATAAGTATTGGCAACAAACAAGTATTCTGATTTATTGCTATCGTTAGAGAAAACAAGGAAACCGCCAGAACTTCAACACCTAACATGATCACAAAAGAAGACGGTAAAAGGTTCTCTCATAACGATGATTCAACTAGCAGATTGACGCGATTTCACAACTGGGTAGACAATGGGTAGACAACTGTCAGGAAATGAACATGGCAGGCTGGGTGGCGGGTGGGAGCCCCCAGCCAATTTGGTTGTTGACAACCACCTAAAATAGTTCGTCATATCCACTGAACAGACGAGAGAACATTTCTTACGATTTTTTCCTCCTTTCTTATCTTTTTGTAATTCGAGTTTTGCCTTCTTCTAGTAATGACTGCAAAAATTTCGCCTATGCTATTCCCTCCATATGAGTCGCAAATGCATGATTACTCACTAAGTTCTGCCATATTCCATTTGCACTTGAACAACTTCTCCAAAGATTTTGTCCCACAGCAATCATCAATCCTTTATGTAGCAAAAATTGAAAGTATAAGTGATAACTGTCAGTATTTCTGAACTTGCTTCAATTTGCTGGCTGAATGATTGTTATGAGAAGGAAAAAAGAACCAAACGAAAGTGGGAACGTGTTAGATCCTCACAAGCAATGTGGGGGCTATGGGCTAGGGACAGAGATTCAGAATTTCAATTCAGAAAACAGATTTCAGAAAAGAAGAAATCGCATGTGGTTTGTATATAATACACAAAGAACATAACAAATACTCACAAATAGTCAAATTATATGTTGAGAGGCACCAAGTTTTGCTATTAGAGTGTGCGAAAGAGCATCGGATTTTTCCAAAGATTCTACAAGAAAAGTGATTTACTAAGTCAGCATGCAACGTTTGTATTATAAATGGGAAGAAATTTCTGTAATTTTCAACAACCCGATGGAGCTCCAGACCAAAAAAAAACCCAGTTCACCATTAACATCGTGCTCATTTCGTTCACCGCAGTCTCGTGCGACCAACTTCAATGCCTTCACCTAGCTCTGCCAAAATCCACAAAATCCCGCCTCGTACTATGTACATTGAGCTGAAAGAAACAGATAAGTGAGAATCTCAGTAATCTTCGGACTGTTTTGCAGGTATCGGGACTTCTGAAAAAGGCTTTGATAGAAAAACAAAAGAATAGAACAACGTTTATAATGAATAAACTTTTCATAAAATGTACTAGAAAGATATTAGCATAAAAGCCACGAGCATCAAACTTCAGATTACAAAAATAAATAGAATATCAACTAAAAATAACAGATAAATAGAGTGAAGCCTTGGAGAAGTGGAAAATGACTCACAAAGCTGGCTTCACACGTCTACACTCTGCATTCATCAATGTTCATGTTCCGTTCAGGAAGTGTTAGTTTCTCTTCTGGCGTCTCAGCATCAACATTATCGAAGTTCGCCTTCGATAATATCCATGCCTTTATGCCCTCAATGGTCGCACAGACGCCTCGCTAAACATATACATATAAAGATAAATCAGAAACCAAAACCCGGGGAAAAAACAAACAGTCTGCAGATAATTTTGTAGAATTTTTGATATATGTCAAAGATATGCCCTAAGGACGCATCTACTGGTGGGTTGCGCGCGTGCAAGCTTAGCAGCTTGCATTGATTGAGGTCCAGACGCAGTTGATCCTCTTGAGCGAATGTCTTAAGTAACATTTGTAACTTAAGAAAAACAATAGACTTTCAGAAATACAGGAACGCCATATACTGACCAGATAAAGCAGCCTGCGAGACTTCACGTTGATACTAACAGTTGAGACACCACTGAGTATGGAGCCTATAGCTACTGAGCGTTTTGTTGCCCCACTGGGTAGGATGCCAGGGGAGGAGAGGCTTCAACCTCGGGGATTAATGGATTCTCTTCAACGTCTGGAGCAACCAACTTTTCCAGATACTGAGCCTGTTCTTTTATAACGTGCGTCGCCGTGCCAATACCTAATACGCAATTGCACTTAAATGACCGCACTCCACATGAACGAAAAAGGAAGTAACCTCCTTTTGCTGCATTGGTAAGATCGGTCACTTCCTGTGTCATTGCGACACCAAATTCAGCAAGATCTTTCTCCATAAGGTCGAGAGTGTTCTTGTCTGAAAGCCCTGGAATATATCAGAGATGCAAGTTTTGCTGAGATACTCTGAAGGTCATAGGCATTAGCATGGACTTTCGGCAACTAACGGTCAGATTTTCCATTACCGTATCTTCTGTGTTTGAGGCAAATCACCTCTTCAGCTCAAGGTTTTAATGAAGACCAAGCTTTTTGCCATAATGGCTGTCGACAGAGCTATTAGGTTCCGGCCGCAAGAATTGAGTAGTGTAACATCTCAGCCTTCTTAATGTTTCTAAAGTCCAAAAACAGAGTACAGCATTTGCAAAACCTCTGAAGCACCACAGACTCATTACATTCTAAAAGTCAAAAATCAGAGGTTTCTGGTGCATTTTTTGAAACGAGAAACGCCAGAATTCACGTTACACTCACATACTATGGAAAGTTTACATCAGAATCAATTTTTATGCTACCAAAACATCTGAAAAATCCCCCACAAAAAACGAAAATGTACCTATAGCTTGCAACGAGGTGCCAGTGTGAAAGTAGGATATCTGTGAACGGCTACTTAGTTTCACTACGCACTGTTTAAGCAAAATCGATTCCTTACACATGATTAGCTCAGCCCACATAAAATGCATTTTTAATTTGCTATAGAAAAGTTTTAGCATAGTCTGCACCGAAAATCCTGAAAAAATCTGTCCAAAAAGGTCCGAGAAATCGCTTCGATCTGCGGAATACTTATCTCGTTGTATACATTGACGTAGTATTTTATTATATTCATTAATCCTATGTTGAATGGAACAAATTAAGAAAGAATAAATTTGAAAATCTATTTGACATTTAAAGGTAAGAAAATACCTCAGTTGAAAAAAGTAGGTCACAACCCTAGCCAGAGATAAAACTGGGAATTGTCAAATCACTTACCATCAATAGCGACTGAAAATCAAAAAAAATTTAAGTCTGACAGCTTTTACTGCCGCGATTTGACAACAGCATGAAAAGAGAAATGAAAAAGCTCAGAAACGCCATAACCTAAAACGCAATTCCAAAAAATTTGCTAACCTTTATCTCCCGTGTTCTCATCTCATCAGCTCTCTTCTTCGCCTTCTTCATTTTTTGAACTTGTTCCACACGTGATAGTTGTACGATCGCAATCGCTTTTCATCTATGATATTTTACTCCGAAAAGAAAACCTGTATAGGTAATTGACTCTTGCGTTTCAATAGGGCTTCGCAATAAAAAAAAGCATCAAGTGTTAAGTAGTTGGGCGCCGCCTCAGCTAAATTATAGTGAAGTCAGCGCACGCAGGGACAGGGCGTTTTTGCGGACGCTATCCGTTTTTCCAATTGGGCGCTCTTTCATTGTTATGAACTCCACCTCCCATCTATGCCGGACTATCTTATTCTGACGTAACGATAAGTTCTCCGCTAGCGATAACTTGCTTACAGTCGTCCTCGCCCCACCGAATCTGGTGATTCATGCAAACTTATTCTTGAGCAGGCCAACTGCCGTAGAACGCACATCCTCACACCTCAGTTCGAGCATTGATACTTCCCTTTATTTTTCTTTCGTTGCGTGCTACTTTCTATTAATAACATGCTCAGGATCAAGCCGAGGATCTCTGTTGTTGCTGAAGGATTTCGTGATGATTTGGTCATATTCCCAACTCTGACTTCGACTAAGTTTGAGGGAATGACGCAGATGGGGCATCTGTGACATGAATTCACCAAGCAGCACTCCTGCACAGTCTAGTGACTGAAAAGAGGGTTTGCCAGTAAAATCCAGCGCACTGTTTCTGCAAGCTTTCTGAAGTTAGAGTCGAAGAGACGAGCATACTATTATGAAACATATTCCAAGAATATAAGTTGTCATTTTCAGACGAGACATTATTCACAGAAAATAACATGCGATATGAAGAAAGTTTAGAACAATAACTTTGAACTCGAACTGAGAGTTGGTGCCACGCTCTACAGAGTTGATTTACTTGTTCGAATTTGAGTTCGTCCACAAGATGTATAGCGGGGTGGGGACGATTATACCGAGTCAAGGAACCGCTTCGAAAGATACAAGAGTGTTTGAAAATAAGATAAAAAAGGGTGTAATCATGGTGGGGACGATTATACCGAGTCAAGGAACCGCTTCGAAAGATACAAGAGTGTTTGAAAATAAGATAAAGAGGGTGTAATCATAAGTCTTCTATCAGAGGCGCGCAGTAATTAAGCTTCTAAAGCTAGGCTAGCGGTGCAGAAAAGTCATCTCCCAAACCTAGCCATAATGAAAGAATGAACAACTCCTCCCCGAATTTCGAGTTTATTTGCAAGGTTAAACGAATATGAGCGCCGTCCATGTGTTTCCAATCGCAAGCAGATGGACGTTAACATTTCGTTAAATGAGAAGCAAAAACGGGTAAAACGAAATAAGTAGAATGATCAAGAAAAACTGAATTGCTGACAAGAAGCAAGAATGCTAACCCTTTCTCTTTGTATGAAATTCGTTCCAGACAACCGGGTGCGTAGCAAGTGTTACCCAGGCAGCCGCCTGGTGCCGCAGCCAGCCGCCAGAGCTGGCGCTAACGCCGCGGCTGAGCTACAGTAAGCGCTTTCGTCGTTTATAACCTCTCGATGAGACATTTTCGCAGCAGCCCCTCGCACCTCATCGCGCTGAGGTGCGATATTTCCCTCAGAGGTCGCGCGACTGCCACAAATTGTATATCGATCAGGACGGCAGAAAAATTGTAGTTTATTAGTATTTCGCAATAAAAAAATAAAAAAATAGGCAAAAACAAAAAAATAAAAAATGAAACAATCGCATGAATGAGACTGAATTGAGAGTCCAATAATGAAACAAATAACCGAAAAAATTTAGTAAAGAAGAAAACTGGACATGTTCAATCTTCAATAGAACAAAATTAGAAATGGAATAAGTTCACCAAAATATAAAATTTTTAATTCTATTCGAAGAGCTGTTTGAAAGGAGGCGTTCTTCTTCCTTGGAAACCGCGCAATTTCCTAGGAAATCAGTGTTTATTGGAATTTTAAGAGGATTCCAAAAAACAGTTCAAATACCTACATTTCTATGTCGATTTCAAAGTCGTGAAGACGGTTTTTTTGAATGGTTTCCACTTTTTGATTTCTGGCAGCACTAAAATTGCAAGATTCTTTGGACTACAACTAAATTCGGAACCTCCAAAAAACCTCAGAAACTCTAAATATTCTTCTGATCTAAAGGTCACGACGAATTGTGGAAAAACTCAGTATTCAGTTATTTTATATTTTTTATGAACTCTTCCCTTATTGTAACTATGTTTTTTTTGTTGAAGAGAATTGATTATGTCCAGTTTTCTTCTTTACTGATTTTTTGGGTTACTTTTTTTGGACTCTTCAGTCTTATTCATGCGATTCTTTCATTTTTTTGTCTTTGCTTATTTTTTATTTTTTTGTTGCGAAATACTAATAAACTACAATTTTTCTGCCGTCCTGATCGATATACAATTTGTGGCAGTCGCGCGACCTCTGAGGGAAAACTCGCACCTCAGCGCGATGATTTGCGAGGCTGCTGCGAAAATCTTTCATCGAGAGGTTGTGGACGACGAAAGCGCGCTTACGGTAGCTCAGCCGCGGCGTTGGTGCCAGCTCTGGCGGCTGGCTGCGGCACCAGGCGGCTGCCTGGGTAACACTTGCACGCCTCCCCAGACAACCTCATCACACCTGTGTGTGTCCGGCCCAAATTCAGTGCTTCGCACCAAATAGGGCCAAATTATCCACCAGTTCATGTGCCTATAACAACTTCAGTTTGACAAAGCTGATACAATCGCAAAAGCAGCTGTTTCCATGACGAAAAGGTTGCATCAAATGCGATTTTCGCTTTCGTAAGCAAATAAACACGCAATTGTACCGTACAATCTCAGGATAATGAACACAAATGATGAAAGTGGAATGTGCGCAAACGCAATTTATAGCAATACATGTTTAGCTGTTCTCAGCAAATACTGTGTTTATACAGCACGTGGTGAAACGAAGCATCAGCCAACCCTATCTCTAGTTCTGCCTTTTACCAAGTGTAGCTCGTATTGATAGTATTAGTTATAATCATAAGTGTCATATAAGAATAGGATACCAGCTTTTGAATCGGCAGTGCTACTTTCATACAGATAATTGGAAAAAGCAAACTTTCAGAAGTTTTTATTCTGGGGGCAAGGGGGTGTAGCGAACCCGTCACTTTACAACGCTTTGATTTGATTATAATGCGACTCGTTCAACAATGAAATACTTGCACGTGCAGTCAGCTTCTAGTAAGCAAGAAACAGTGTCGAAAGCATGAAAACTCTCGAGAAAATAGCCTCAATGAATTTGCTCATCGACTTATCATAAACCAGCCTGTTTTGCCACAGTTGCCTTCCATGGCAATTTTTATCTTCTGCTAAAAATCATCGAAAAATAGATTTTGTAGATTTGAAAAATCCTGCTATGTACTGAATGCATGGAATGGTAATGATTAGCGAAGCATTCTAGATGCTTGTAAGCAGGAAGAGAAGACATCAAAAACTACAGGTGATTATGCGACCACGACATATACAAACACACTAAAATGGAATAAAGAACAGAGAATAGAATCTCCTGCAAAACGGAGTGCAAAAAAATCACAAAATGGAGGAAATAATAGCGCACGGGTTCACTGACCAGATAGTAGTGACACTTCCGAGATCCGCTTCCTTACATCAGCTAGCGCCCCTATATCAGGAAATTTCACACTTAAGCGATGAGCACCCGAAAACTGCCATCGAGCAGAGTCATGACAGGTGGGATAAGACACGGATGTCATGTCAAAAAAGAGAATTTTGACTTTTCAGGCAAAAAATATGCTAGTTTAGATGATAGGTGTATTAACAACAAAATGAAAGGAAGCGAAAAAAAGCCAAAAACGTCGAATCCGCACAAGCACAGCGAGTGAAAATGTGTGCAGTTTTGCGTTGAGTTTCTCTGCATTGTTAGGCAAATTATGATGTTTTGTAAGTTACTCAGGAGCAGCACTTACGAGAAGTTTCTCTGCGTATCATCATTAGCACACTATTGTCATCAATTGGTAGTCTAACTGAATGCGAACTGACTGAAGTAAGGTAGACTACCTCGTCAGGTAGACGGACGGTCAGCTGAAATCTCATTTAGCATTCTTACAACATAGGAAGCTGAAAGGTAGTGTACCTTACCGAACCTTGGATGAGGGCTTCAGTTCAGTTCACCTGAATTGAACTATCTTTACTACGGGCCACTGTTATAGAGTTAGTCAGTGCGCTATATAGGAAAAGTATAACACATCCGTAGCTATTTACGCTTTCACCCGTGTCGGATCTGACATAAATGATGTCCTGTCGCGTCCTTTTAGAATGCCTCCAATACTTGCCGCTTGAAAAAATTCGGCCTTTTATGACGAGGCGGCAACTGATAAAGAAAAAGCTGTAAAAAGCTAGAAGCTTGATGAAGCATATCACGTACTAAAGAAACTCATGTGTACGCGTTCTTCGCCCCTTTTCAGGTTCATGAAACTCTTCAAGTCTGATTCGGCTATGCTTGGGTATGTAGCACTCTGCGTTTATTTGAATATCAAGGGGAAATCTAAACGATCACGTTGTTGCACATAT